AAGTATTTTGTTCAAACATTAGCAACGGCGGCTGATTGGCGTATTTAGCAACGGCTTCTAGGTGCCTACAACGCGATTCTTCAAATAGTGCAAAATAATCCTTATGCTTAACTCTAATGCGGGCTCTAAACCAAGCAAAGGTTTGTTCGATTCTGAAAAATTTCTGTCGAAGAATTAGTCAAATTTTTTTGACGAGGAAAAAAAAATCTGATCAGTTTATATCGGAATTTCCCGTTGATCAAGTTAAATAAAACTACAGAAACCCGTGAACTGTAAAAACACTTACTCGCTCTGGTGTTTTGCTTCACCGTGTTCTTTTGTCTTGTTTTTTTTCACTGGTTTTGGTTTGCCTTTCGGTTTGATCTTTGAAGTTGTTTCTTTTACTGGATGGTTATCGGGTTCTTCAGGCATAGGAAGCACTTCGATGATCTCGGAATCAGTCGTATTTAGAATTTTTTTTTCGCAATTATATATGGGCTTTGCGATTGGTGTACTTGATACTCTTGGTGCTGATGCGGTTGCAAACTACTGATGTTGGCAAGTTGTTTGAAAAAGTGTGATATACTCAGTCATTAACACATACAAATACGACGTTTTTGCTGCATGCAATGTCCTTATCGATCTTGAAAAATCAAAATCACGAAATATATTACATACTGTTCACACCTGTAATTGCATTGCTTTGCAAAGGCTCTTTTGCAGAATTTTTCGTAATCGGTTCTGCCAGCAGATTCTCAACTTCAAGTGCGTTTTGCGAATCAACGCGTTTAACGTGCCAGTATTCTTACAACTACAGAGGAAGCTTAAACGTCTGGACGTTCAAAATGTTTATCAGCTTGCATTTTTCTTCGTTTTTTCTTTCGCTTTATCTGGGAATGTGGAAGCAAAAAAAACTATAGAATGTTCTTATTTTGCTACAAATGTTGAATACCTTCCGATTTGGTTTCTACGCAGCTTTTCGACTCCAGGTTGAATCGCTTGTATTTTGGCTTTAGGGAAACTTTCTGAGTTAGCTGCTCTTTCACTGATTTCACTGTGCTTTTTGGGTTTTTCAATTTTCAACCCGTTTGCTTCGTCCATTTTAGAGTCTAAATTAATTTTTATCAAATTGCGTTTTGTATTATATCACTTCTAGAACGCTTGAAAACTCATCATTTTTCTGAGCAGCTGTAATTGCTTCAATGTTGTCTGTTTGCAAATAATTCGTCCGAAGTCGTACGAACTGACAGATCTCCGACCAATAGAAACACTTTCGTATAAACGGATGCATTTGAYACAGGCTTTAGGGTTTGCTATCAGTATGAACCCACTAGATAAGCTATTGATAAGTCGGGTATGATTAAAAAAACATTTGTAYATGTCGCAAATGTTTCTATGTATCTTTTAATCTTAGGAAACGTTATCGAATTATAAAAAACAATCTTACCAAAAGTGATTAATCGTATCATATGAKTAAAAACATCCTCATAATATGTTTAAAATCACTCGGATTTGTTTGGTAACGTACTACTATATTCTAACTACAACTATATTCACTGGACAGGTCACATCAGAGTGTTAATCTAAGTAATTTCAAATTTCGCCTGATCAAATGTTTTTTTTATGGTGAAATATGGCATTTTTCAACTGTTGATAAACACATTTGATTCGAAAAAATAACTACTTGAAAACACTTTTGTTTTCTCTTAATGTGTTGAACACTCGGATGCTTTTTCATACATTGTACTACATTCACTGAAATGTAGCCAAAACGATGTTTTACAATATTCCTCTACACTGGACGAATTTAGATTGAATCTTCCTAGTTCGAAAAAAATGTAAATCCATCGAATCACATAAGAAAGTAGATGCTGCCAAAACCCCATGTTATAACTAATTTGCCATCATCCAAATGTGGTCCAGACAATTGGACTAGTATCTACAGTAAATTTTATAATTCTTTCCCTTGTATCAGACTATGAAGGCTTTCACGGCCGGTGAGAGTACATTTAGGAATGTTTTCCGGGCTTTGAAGCCGTGGTCTATCGGAATTTCTTCCTGACGTTTCGTTCACAACTGCAGTGGACATTTTCAAAGGCGATGAGGCAGTGGGCGAAGTGATCTCCCGTGCTTTCCGACTAAGACTGGTCCGGTGGACAGGAAGAAATTCCGATAG